TAATTGACTTGAATACTTCATGTCGTATAAGATGTTCACATTAGTCGCTTCATGTGAGCCAGAAGAACGTTTACTCCTCTCTTCCACGTGTTTTCCATTCTAATTTGAACTATTATGATCACACGACTAGCTCAAATAACACTCCCTTATCAATGAATTTACGACTCACTTGTGACTCCGAATGTAGTTGTGTTTTAACTGCTATGCTCGACGGCTTTTGAAAGACGCGGACATGGTCAACGCTGCCTTCTTTTTTATACAAGATTTTCTTTCATTAAATTTGCAAATCGCTTGGACGTTCGTTTATAAACGTAAGGTGTGTTTCCCATGATCAGTAATTACAGTTCACTTCCTTTCTACTGCATAATAAATTTATTTTCAAGCTCTGATGTGGCAGTTTTCGCAGGTGTAGCAATCTTTTCGCTAACCTCATTTTCTTTCGATAGGGGTAATAGAGAGGGGCGGGCGACATTGGAATGGTTAGTAATTAAGGTTATAGGGAAGCAAAGTTCGACCCAAACACCAACGCTCTTCCGCATGTCTACACTTGAGAACGTAATGCGAACTTTATAATGAGACAATATGAAAGTGGAAATCGAACGCCGACAATAAAAACCTCCTTGTTTTGCCGATAAAATCGTTCTCATTACACCAAGCATCAACTAGGTGGAACACATAATGATCAACTTCGAATCTTTGTGGAAAGACTGCTTTTCGACTGAATGTTGAAAAAAAAAATGATGTAAATGAGAAAAGGATTGGTTTTTCATGCCCATATACGCTCAAAGGAATGATCTCTGAGTGTGCTCCAGTCACACCTGGTTGGGTCCCCAGAGTCGATATGATAAGCGGCTAAACTTGATGTTCACCCAGAGGATGCGTTCGGCTTAGCGAGCTTTCAAGAGGATCGGGAATGTAACGAAGAGAACAAAGAATACGTGACACCGCATCCACAACGATTATCACTGCTTTGACTTGAGCATCAGGAAGCTTGTCGTCACGTCACCTGAATGAAAGTTCATTCAGCGTTATCGAACGGCAGTCTGAAGGTCAGTGCTAGGAGCATCCCGAATCTTTCAAAAGAGACAAAAGATCAGAAGCTGTAACCGGTGTCAACGATCGCAAGTCACGTATGGCGTTCTACACGCCAGTTTATCGAAGATAAGGTGGGCCGAATATGTAATGCAGTTTAACGAGAACCGATAAACGAGAGCCTTTACCGAGTGGCTCCTCGTGATGTCAAACGCACCACGGTGAAGCAACCAACCCGATGGTCCGACTTCTTAACAAAAATCTTCAAAAAAGATTTAATGTAGCGAGCAGCGAGGACGGCCCACTGGACTGCTTTTGCACATGATAAGGAAACTTGATGTTTTACTGGTGTCCGCTCGAGTCACTCGACGATCGACGGAACGACAGGTGATTAATGCTTTCCACCTGGACGATTGTAAGCTTTTTGGTTAAGATGATGCACTGCGAACTTCTTGACTAAAGTACTCAGCTGTATTTGGCACAATTTTTCAAGTAATCTGAGGAATAGCTTAGAATTGGATCATATCGATCCGCTGTATACGTAGAAAGAGGACCCGCCAGAAATACTCATTTGATACCTAACTTTCTTCGCAGATCTCTGCAATCCTTCCCTCTTCGAGCTGATCGTTCAATTTCATTTTGCAGCTGAATCAATACATCATAGAAGAAGCGATTACGTCTTATAGAAACATGATTTACGCTAATGTCAAGTACGCAGTAAGAACACTTTCGTAACGAATGGCACTCTTAGAGGTCACAATGAAGTGGTGGAGGTAGCGGAGATAACACCTACAGGTGTCATGACTTTTTCCTGATGGTTTATTTTGGTAAACAAGATTTTTTTCCTAAATTCCTTGTAATCAGTCAGCACTTTATTTAACGCAGATGCTGTGGTGGGCATAGCCTAGGAGAGCGAAAGTGTTTTATCAGCCATTTCTCACTTGATAACAGGCGAGAATTGCCTCTATCTCCATTAAATGACACCGTATGCGCTATGCAGTCGCATTTTCGTAAACAATTCGTTGTTTTTCTGACTTTAGACCGTTACAAGTACTTTTGGGTAATGTCAGGAAGAATTTTTGAGCCATCTCAAGATTGATACATTAGTGGCTTACGTACGTTTCGGTGGTCTCGGCCGCTTCATCACAGCCATACGCGTCCCGCAGGTCCCACTCTTGGTGGTAGGAACGGGGAATCGTTGTTACGGTAAAACAACGTAAAATTGTGGTTCTCAGGTTTTCACCACTCTTTTCCAGTCGACAGCATACGGCTGTAAGGTAAGGTGTAAGGTGTAATGTCTTGATGTAAGGTGATGTACGGTGCATTGTCTGGATAACAGCCGTATGCCATTGACTGGGATAGAATGATGAGAACGTGAAAACCATAATCTCACGTTGTTTCACTGTAACAACGTTTCCCCGTCTCTACTATCAGTACGAGGACCTGCGTGTAGGGCGTGTGGCTCCGATGAGGCGGGCGAACAGAAGCCTGCGTAGACCACAAATGTGAAGCCACTACTTTACCAACCTCGACTTAGCTTAAAATATTCCCTCTGGCTATATTGAATGTTTATAACAATGTGTTATAAACCAATCGAGTGTAAGATACTATTGAGTAATGTTTCGACTGACAGCATATCAAAATTAGAAGATGAATATCGCCCTATTCTATGTGGAAATTATAGAATCTCATCAAACACTGACAGCAGTGTGATTGCACAGTAGTACTACTCTTTCTTCACGCACAGACTTGTTTAGAATGAGGAACCTAACGCTCGGCGTTGATCCATCCGTGATGGACGGGTCATGCATTCAATTCCATTCGTATCATCGTTTGAAGTGATTGAATGCCTATTCGGCCTTTACAATGACTCGCGGTGCCCTACCAATGCATCAAATCAGCATTATGATCCTCCTAGGCAAGTCTGGCACCAATTCACCGACCTCGAAGGTAGTATAGAAGGCCTAGTGAGCTTTAAGCACGGGGTCGAACCATCAACCATCGATAGTTAGACCATGTCTGTGTCGCAGTGCACTTCTAACCCCGGAGCTACTTGCGGTCTTTCGAAATTGAGTTGCATATCTAGCAAAAAGATGTGAGAATGGGTTCTATTCGGTTACGAAGGGACAAGTGAAGAGCGATCTCAAAAGCGACAGGAACTTTTCATACGAATGCTAGTAATCTTTTGAACGATGATATTTCAGGCTACAGACACACTCGCCGGTTTTTGAAAAAGCCTCTCTTTTGACTTTCTTACTAAGGGAGATTTCTTGCGTTGCAGATGCGCTTATTTCTCGCCGGACAGAGCTCTTTCTTTGGACTACTAGTATCATTCGATAGCATAATCGTTGCTGATTTCACGCTGTGCATATATCCCGAAAAAACCGTTTCTCTGCAACGTAGCACGTGAGCTAAGTCCAATTCGCATGTGCGACCAAGGTGGTCTTTGGCCAAGTCACGTGCCGCTGATACGATGTCGTAAGAGCGATTCAAGATTGATCGATCATCGCCTCAGCGCACGTGAATTGGCCAAAGACCCCCTTCGTCGCACATGCGAATTGAACTTAGCTCACGTGCTACAATGCAGAGAAACGGCCTTTTCAGGATATAAGCATAGCATTGGAAGCAGCAACGTTACGCTATCGATTGACTACCAACAATCCAAAGAAAGAGCTCTGTCCGGAGAGAAAAATGCGCGTTTGAGACTGTTTTGTGTGGATTTTAGAGGGTTACAGAAGGGTGTTCGCAAAAACCGGCGACATGGGGCTGTAGCCTGAAGTCTCAGCTTTCGAATGGTCACGAACACTCCTATGAGAATTACCTCTCCAGCGGACAAGGTCGGTTTTCATTTGTTCCCCCATAACCGTTTAAACCAAAAAATTAGGCGTCGTCCCATCGGTCGGTAGGTCAAGGCACATCCGATGCCGGCATGGACGATCTCGCCAAAGGCTGGTTCAACCTCCTCTGAAGAGAATTTCGGCACCGATATCGATGATATACGCCTCAGTGTCAAGAAGTGATCTGCCTGGATCGATGACATCATGATCATGGCCGTCACGCGAAATTGCGGAAAAAATCGGAACGGTCTTAGAGACAGCGCCACCTTACGCGAAATTGCAGAAAAAAGTGGTATGAAGGTATTCAAATGGATAGCCTAAAATTCGACGCTTTCATTTGCGATTCTTTTGGGTTAATTGGGTCAGTATGAGGGTTAAAGTAGATGAGAAATGAAGGGAGAAATTCATGGCAGTCCATCAGGTCCCCGAAAATCGGGGAAAACTTCAAGAGTGGGAAATTTTCTTGGTCTTTCTCGTTTCCCTCCCCTCCCAAAGGGGCGTCTCCCACTACCATATTGTCTCGCCCCTTGGATGTTTCTTCTCAGTGTTTGTACTCGCCGTCGTCGCACTGACATCGTTGATAACGAAGGCTTTCCCCGGTTTTGGCGCTTTGCCAAGGGAAGTTGCTTTTGCCTTAGCCGCCGTTCGCCGGCGTTTTACTTCGCCATCGGTCATACCCAGGAAGGCCGTTGCGCTCGTCTTTGAACTCGTCCCAGTCCAGAGTTTCACCTTCTTTCTTTACTGCGAGCGACGATCTTTGTCCTTGGGATTTCTGTCTTTCATAAATCTTATCAAAATAAAAGTAAAAATAGTTTCTCAAAATAGTTTATTTTTTGATGACTTAGCCAGAACGTCAAGCCAGTTGCTGGGGGAATTCTAGCTAAAAACCAATCAATAACTCAATAAATTAGAACAGTAATGATCAATAACATCGAGCAGTTCCTTATGTATTGTAAGCGATAATTTTCATGAAATTTCCTTATCAACCTTGTGGTACTGGCTGGATCACAGCAGAATCAGTATTGATTAGGGTGACTTGAGGCTTTGAAGGAAAGTCGATTTTCAAGGCGGATTTTCTATTGTTTTTTTTTTTTGCTCAATTGTGGTGACACATTACCACCGATATCAAAAGCCGCGATAGTGCAATAGGTTAGCACTCGCCCTGGAAAGGATGAGACGTGGGTTCGATCCCTCTTGAGGTTTGAAGTTTTGCAAATCGCTCAACATCGTTGAATTTCAGAGCTCGTCGTCGTTCTTTCATTTCTCTAGAAGCTCTCTATGTTGACCTGGGCTTCCCACTTGGGGTTTTTAGAGTGTTATACACCCAGGGACCTCCTGGAAGGTGAATTATGTTTATTTATGGATTTATCAGAGTTATTCAATGTAGCGAAATCGGATCAGCACTGGGTAGAATGTCCCGGACATCACCAGCGACTCGATCAGTTTGAAAGCCGAATTTTCATTTGAACGCGCTTTAGCCGTGATATAATTTTACAAAAATCTACCCTAGTAGTGTTGAGTGGTATGGAAGACTTTGTGTCGGAAAGGATTCGAACTCGCATCTAGCCCTTCCCGGGGGCGCTTGCTCACCATTCCGCTACCGGCTTTTTTATATTATTCCTGTATTCTTTGTTGATTAAGCCAATAACCGAAGCTTATAGAAAAAATTCGATTTTGATAGAGTTAAGTTAAATTACGATTCATTGTAATAGACGACGACAAATGAAAAATCGATCTCTTTTCTTCTGGACAAAATCTTTACATAAGAGTGTCAGTAATCATTCGAAAGCTTCAATCTCTGGCTAGAGTCCCCAGGTGGCCGTTATCGAAAACACTCTTGTATAGCGCTGTGAAATTCGAAATAAAATTTTGTTTTACATCGGCAGCGCAATTCAACTATTTCTTCGCTGGTAGCACGAAAAGCACATGAACGTATAAAGGAAATCTTGTAGTATCAGAGTCATACGTTTAATCTAGAGTTACCTTTGAAGCGGAGAAACAATTCTCAATCGTGTAAGCAAAATCGCGCCTCATATGTGGTCCGCCGAGGCGTCTCGATCGATGACCGTGTTGGAACCGCGGCACTCACCTGCTCCCCCCCCGCCCCACCCCGTAGATTAGCCAAGACACCCGCGTATGTGAATGAATCTTATTTTCGCTGCTGTACTGCAGAGAAACGATTTTTTGCGAAAATAAGTACATCGTCGGATTCGTTAAATTTTACGCTATCCAATGATTACTAACAGTCGAATGAAGGATCCCTCTCCTGCGAGAAATATGCGAGTGTGAAACACAAATGATCTCCTTTCACTGGAACGTCATCAAAAGACTTTACTAGAAAATGACCGCGTTTTGCACTAGCCGGAGATCTAGGGTTTCGAATGATTGCTAACACTTTATGAAAAGTTCTTGTCCAGCAAAAGGGATCGGTCTTTCATTTGTCACTGTCTAACGTAAAACAACCAAAACACTTGAGATCCTTCATTATTATTTGAGCCAACTTGTCATGTGGTCTGGTAAAGGCTCTTGTACAGCCCGATACACGTGTTTCGTCCTTACAGACTCGTCAGCCGGGCAGAACCCATCGTCTTTCGATATTTTTATAGTCAGTTCTCTCTGGTGCCTTGCACTCCTTACAGAGAGTCATCGAAGACGAACGCTTAACACTCTATGTCAAGTGAAACCTTCACCTAACCCAGAGTGTTGTGCACTCGATTGCTCATTGGCTGGTACTTTCATCATAATTCTCTCTCTCTATAAGGAGTGTAAGGCTCCGTAGAGAACTGACTATAAAAATATCGAAAGACGACGGGTTCTGCCCGACTGACGAGTCTGTAAGGACGAAACACGTGTATCGGGTTGTACAAGAGCCCTTACCAGACCACATGACATGTTGGCTCAAATAGTAATGAAAGGATCTATTGAAATTTGAGCTTGGTCTTAATAAAGCACTCGAAGAAAAGGTATAACCAAAACACTTATACTTGAACGGCCCGTCTTCACTGATAGTGCGAGCCCTAGCACAGGTTCCCTGTGTTGGTTTAGATGTTTTGTTCCATTGAGACCTGGGGTAAACCTAGCCGAGGTTTCCTCAGGTCGTCACCCATAAGAGTAATTTTTTCCAGGTAATCTCGTTTCTGATTATCGATTCATGTCCGTTTATGTCCATTTTTATCACTTCATTCGATTCCGACGCTGGTAAATCGGTTTCTACTTTTTGATCTTATATGTAAAATGTTGGTTTTTGATTTTTTTCCCTTTGAGGATTGTTTTTTCCCTGCTTTTTCAATTTTACGATTGAATTTCCAACGCATTCTAGTCACTGTTGGTTGATAAGGCGCTTGTAGAAGCCATTGGAAAAGTTTCAGGTGCTTGTCCCCATTATGAGGCGACAAATGAAAATCTGATCCCATTCATTAGATAGGAACTTTTCTCATAGGATTGTTAGCGATTGTTTGAAAGCCTAGAGTTTTGGCTAGAGCCTCACGTGGGCGGTTTTCGAAAAAGCCTTGATTTTGACCTTTTATAGGAGGAAATTCTTTGAGTTGCAGACGCGCGAATTTCTCGTCGAATAGAGCTCTCTCTTCGGACTATTATCAATCGTTCGATAGCGTGATGTTTGCTGATTTCAACGCTGTGCTCATTGTCTGACGGTCTTTTCAGGAAATCTAAGAATTCTTTTTATCTGACCGCCACTTGCTGTGGTATGATCCTGTAATACACCCAATGATGTGGAGTGCTGTGCAAAAACATTTGAATCAACCGGGATTCGAACCCAGACCACACTCTTTCCGATGGCATATGCTAACCCTTGCACTAGCGACACTCGTTTTAAAACAGAACTCTTTTACGCTACAAGTGGGCTCAATGCCGATAGCGGGTGCTCTGCCAGAGCGTAGACGGTTGGCTATTGGCAGATAACGCGTTGTAGCGTGAAAACAAAAAGAAGGCTGTGCAAAACGAGCGTCGATGGTGCAACGGTTAGCATACGCCCCCGGAAAGAGTGAGATATGGGTTTGAATCCCGGCTGACGCAAATGTTTTTGCACAGGACTCCACATAATTGTTTAAGAAGACTTCTTAGTTCTTTATGCTGGGCAGACTGCCTTTCGTGTAGCAGACATGTGACGCGAAATGTTTATTGATCGAGTATATCAAGAAGCGTCTTACCTCCTCTATGTTTAGTAGTAATTGTCTCTCTTTCATCCGAATCTCATGCGCAATGATATTAGTCAGAGAGGTTTTTGAATGTACTAGAAATCTCTTCGGCTTGCCGTCATGTTAAGGCCTGAGCGATAATCGTAGGTATATCCAATAATGTTGGGTGATATGTGAGAATTCGAACGTCGGACAGGAATTGAACCCGTATGTCAACCTTTTGGAGGGCGCATGCTAACCATTGCACTATCGGCACTCCTATTCTGCCAGTCACCACTCTATCTTCTCCACTCATACTACCGCTAGGAGCGGCTGGATGAAAAGAATTACAGTCGATTAATTCGATTATACTTCCTCTCGAGCTGTCCTCTTCCTTATCGAAAACTTGCGTGAGGTTTGTGATCTCTTCCTTTCCTGAAAACTCGGTGGCTAACGTTCCGACGGCGGCAACGCCTTCGTCGGAGCCTAAATCTTTTTTTTTTTTGGTTTTACATTTCTTCAATTATGCCGAGGTTTAGAAATGGTCGCCATTTCGAGTTTATACTCTTTTCTTTCATGAATCTTTTTCTGATAGAAAAATAATTTGCAAAGGTGCTTTGATATAGTCACTAATTTTCAACATACATTTGTTTCCTAGTTATCTTCTTGCTTTTTTTATCTTCAACTTAATTTTTTCTTGAAGTAGTTTTCCCCTTAGACATTTATTTCCTAATACAAAGTATCAAGGAACTTTAATATTTTGTAGTTAATCACTCTGATATGTTACTCGTAAAGACGTCTTTGTTCTCATCGGCGTTTTCGTCGTTCAGGACTCTCGATGTTCTAACCCATTGGGGACCGCTGCTGCAGCAGTTGCAGGCAGGCCTGGCTTGGCCCGAGACGCGGCGCTGCCATTACAGTAGCGCAGTGAGATGCGACGTCGCGCGGTGTGTTACGTTCCGTAGCACGTGGTCTCCAAAGGGTTAATGCATCATCATTCCGGAATATAAGCTCTTCCATATTTACATTACTTGATCTCGATGTTGATAGTTTTCTCAAGTATTCTTGAATGTGTTGTTGGTTCATAAATGGATGGAAACTTATAAGTAGGAAGCCCTTTATTTCCAGGCATTTTTTCTCCTTCGATGGGGCTTGACAAGGAAAACAGTCCGAGTAATCCCGAACGACCACTCCTACTTCTTCTGAATGACCACGTCTATGACGTCTCGCGCTTTGCTTCAAAACATCCAGGTGGCGAGAAGGTGCATTTTCTCAATTTTTAATAATATATTCACTTTGTTTCCTAAAATATCTTCATAGTGTCATAAGAGTGATGGCCATCTTTTCGTTAAAGGTCGACTTCCGCGGACCCAAACTGGGCGTTTTCGCTAGCGGGGGACGACCCACCTTTTGTGTCCCGATTAGTCACCGACTACAGTACTACTTTTCGTTGCAAATCCGCACACGAATTAGTTCAAAACTTAGTTGCGGATCTTGCAACGAGAAGTAGTGCTGTAGTCGGCGACCATTCGGAGCAGAGGAAGTGGACTTTATAGACTTTTTCAAAAACCAGTTTTAGCCTTACAGTCGCCGAAATTCGTCCATAGAATCGGATATAGTATATGTAAGAATACCTTTATAAGAGACAATTTTGAAACCTCGCTTGAAAATTCGGCATAGTCTGTTGAAATGTTTTGAGTCTTTTGAAAGGTCTGGTATAGCATTTCAAGTGGTATGCGTACGTTTCGGCGGTCTCGCGGAACTCATCAGTAGCACATGTCCTGCGCTTCACTCCTGCTGTTATTAGCTAATTACTTCTTGATGCTTTTGCACCAATCGTTAATAATAGCAAGGGTGAACCGTAAGGCATGTGGTGGTGATGAGGTGAGCGGGAAAGCCGTGACGTACGTTTACCACTCAAAAACGCCATACCAGACCTCCTGAGAGGCTCAAAACGTTTCATCAGACGCTATCAGTTTCATTCAGTGAAAACCCATCCACAAACCCTAGCCGTGCAAACAAAGTTCTTTGGATGAGAGTTATAATTTTGCAATTTTATTCTCTACTGCATCAGCTCACTAAGGAGGCTTTTCCGAAAACCACACACAGTATTGAAATTGCCGAGAGTTAAGCTTTCTAATGACTACTAGAGTTTGAGTAGGAAGCTATGCTCAGCAAAGAAGACCGCTTCAGTTTTACGGAAAAACGACTTCATCGTTTGTGAAATGTAATGGTAGAGTAGACTGAAAGGCTCGCTGCACGGCAGGAAAATTAAGCGGCGTGTTACTTATGCTTACTTACTTGGATGCTTGAATGTCTGTTTTCAATTTTTCCGGACCCCATCACATGAAAATGTGCTGGTTGAGGCGTTCTATTCCGTGGAGTTACGAGGTAAGCCTAGCCGGGGCTTACTCAGGTCGCCTCATTAGAGTTGCCGCTGATATTTGTAGATTAGAGGGATATTACTACTCTGCGAGTACCTAGCAAGACGGTGGTCATTCTTCCTACAGTTTGCTCTTAGCTGGGTTTTCCGAGTGGAGACGTCGGACTCCTCCTTAGCTTGGGTGGCCCTGTTTGGGATTTGAACGTCCGCTGTACTTCAGCATTCCGACACTCAGGCGCACCTCCCCAGCCACGACGAGGCGGTGAACCATTTGGGCGAGGCCTCGATTATTAGGAACTTTTATATCGACTTAGTTATCTATTTTGACACCGTGACGGACGTTTACCACTTTAAACGCCCATACCAGACCTGAAAGGCTCAAAACATTTCATCAGACGCTATCAGTTTTGTTTAATGAAAAACCCATCCACAAACCTTAGCCGTGCAAACAAAGCACTCTGGATAAGAATTATAATTTTTATATTAGGAACTTTTATGTCGACTTAGTTATCTGTTTTGTACAGTCAGTGTTTCATAATGTGAACTGCTGCATCTAAGCTTTACAAAGCTGTATCTGCTTTCGACTTTCCAATTGAAGAATTATTCATCAGTGGATCTATATAATTCTACCTATGGCCTAGTCGTATCCCATTGAGTTTTCTTTTTTTCCATTAAAAAATATCTTTAGGTTCTACGAAAATTGGCTGGTGAAGATGTGAGTGAGTTTATGCGAGGTGATCGTCGGATACTCGGAGTTAAACATGAACATTCAGAAGCCGCTTATCAGATGTTGGAAAAATACGATATAAACAACATACACAAGGTCTGAGAGCTTTTATATTTCCTTGTTTGAAGTTTACTGTATGAGATTATATGTAAAGGACGATCCTACTTTGGATTCCAAAAGTACCGGAGTGCTTTCAAGAGTTGGAAGTCTAGGAGCAGACTACTGGATGTGGATTCATCAGCCATACGAAGGAACCCTTAGGTGTGTTTCAAATGATTCTGACTTTTCGATTGGTTTTCTTTGAGTTTCTGATAGTATTCTGATCATATGTTTTCTATCTGTTCCCCTTCTTGAAATAAAATCCTTAGACTCTTCGATTCTGATTTGCTGGAATCTCTGACGCGTACGTCGTGGTGGATTGTTCCGGCAGTGTGGCTCCCTGTCTCGGCGTTCTTCAGTGTCTTAGCCCTGTCGGACTTGTACAGCCGTTATAGTGGGTTTCTACAGATTCAAATCACTGGTTTAGAATCATTTCCGCAATTTTTAAAATTGTTTCGTAATTGAGAACAGAGAAGAGTTGTTTTGCTCCGCATAACGATGTCCGTGCCTTTCGTCTTATTTCCCCGTATAGCCCATGTTGAAAATTATACAAAGAAAAAAAACATTTGGCCTATGTATAATTTTAGAAGGGTCAGTATCAAAGTTATTGTATGTAGCCCTTTCGGTACCATGAAACTCACGTCCTTTACATTTCTAGCCGGCAACGCTGGACGGTCTGCTCCACTTTGACTGCATCCCTAACCCGCAGCATGGGAATCACCATCTGTCTACTCCTCTCTGATGTGAGTGAATATATGCGAGAAGACTGAACCAGCAACAGTCTTCCCGATGGACGGGTTACCGAGTGTCAGGGAAGTGGGGCAGACAGTGATCCACCACCCTGAGGGTTAGACATTCAGAGGAGTTGGACCAGACCGTCCAGCATTGCCAACTAGAGATGGATAGGCCGTGGGTACATGGTCTCGGAAGGGCGAAGCACTGGTCTTCTCATACTTGGTTACATACGTGCGGTTCTGCTCAGATGACTAAGTCCACATATCTGTAGTGCTAAATGTTATGAGAATGGTGCTGTAAGCTGAAAATATTTGGTCTGACTCCTTGTCTTATACAACAGTGCTTCAACGAACCCTAGTCCCCCATTGATGGGGGGGAGGGGGGGGGAAGGGGAAGATTACGGAGTGCTTGGTTAAGCAGGCTTATATGGAAGCAAGGTATTATTTCGACCCCTTCAATGGAGCGGAAGCGCGTCCAGACTATAAATAGAACTGAATCATCAAAAAATGTTATTAAGTAATGGATTTTCTACGATATCCCATAGAAACGCGGCCGAAGTGGAATAGTGGCTGTTATAATTGTGTTTCATTGAAAATGTCTAACACTTATTATTGAATATACATTTATCATTGTAGGCATACATTATGGAGCTTTTATTTGGGCCAGCTGTTTCGTATTAGGAGTGTTGGTATGGACTCTCGTCGAATATCTACTTCATAGATATGTATTTCATTGGAAACCGAATCCAGAGTCATCCACTCAGATTGTGCTCCATTTTCTTCTTCATGGTAGGCGCAAAGTTATACTTTATTGATTTTCTAGCGTTTCGTATCTATAACATTATCCTATTTTATGGTTTTATTTCTAACTTTGTAATTTGAGGACTTCACCATAAAACTCCAATGGATCCTGGTCGTCTCGTCTTTCCGCCATTCCCTGCTTTGTTCATTGTCGCATTTTTTTATGCTCTATATTCCAATATTTTACCATGGTTAGCGAACTTAATAACACACATTAACTTTCCTGCGATTGATGATTATCGCTCAGTATCGTGATTTTACAGGAATATATTCTGCGCTTTCGGTAGCGGAAAACTTTTCGGTTATGTTGGATACGATATGATTCACTATTATCTTCATCATGGAAGCCCACGTCCGCTAACGAATATGCACTATAGAAAAGTGTACCATCATAACCATCATTTCAAGAATTTTGATGCAGGTATAAAAGTCTGAAGAAAAATTTTGGGTACTCGTCCATTATAAAGCAACAAATGAAAATCCTATCTCATTTGCTGGAGAGAAAGTTTTCATGGGAGTGGTAGTGATCATTC